TGGGAACTTTGGCTAATACTCACCTGGGGGGCTGAGCGATGACTTTGTGGCATTTTGCTGCTGCTGCTAAAGCTATTTGTTTATGCACACTGGCAGGTAAGGCTAGACATAGGCGGACCCTTTTATATCTACCACAAACCCTAGGCCAGATGCTCTGGGCCTTGAAGATGTTTTAGCTATGTTTCTGTTGAGCAGCAGGTATCTACACTGGTCAATACCAGTGAAAGTGGTAGTCTTACTTCAGAGAGTTCTTAGAATTCACTTCTCATCTCCCATAACCCTCCCCCTGCCTTCCCCTGCAGCTTTCTTCTTTTGGAGCCATCTTGCCCAGGAAGCGCCCCTCCCACGAGTGGGGCTGGGGGCCGGGCGGAAGAGGGAAGTTGCTGCCTCAGGGCTGGTCTGAAGTCCTGGCTCTGCTTTCCAATCATCGGGGAGCTTAAAAGGAAATCCCCAGGCCTGGGCCCCACCTCAGTCACATTGGAATCCCTGGGGAAGAGACCCAGGCAGCTCAGGCTTTAAGAAAGCCTCCAGGTGGGAGCATTTGAGAGCTTGCTCCCAGGCATATGTCGTCAGTTTGGCTCAAACCAACTCTTATAAAAATTCTCTACAAAAAAAAAGAAAGAAAGAAAGCCACCCCCCAACCCCCATGATCCTATAATGCTGCCAGGTCTGAGGTCCCTGATAGAACTGGTGGAGCTGGTTGAGAGATGTGCCCTGGACCCTGACCTACTGACCTTTGCCATCAAGCTCCCTCACCTTGGCCAGTTCATATCTTGCCTGCTTTCAAGGCCCATCTCTAGCACTGCCGTTTGCAAAAAGCCTTCTGGACACAGGCTCTGATCTCACCAAGCTCTCCCTTTTACAGCGAGCGTGCTTGGTTTTGGAAGCGGGTGTTTGGTAATGAATTACCCCTTCCTGGGCCTGATCTGACCCCGGTGTCATTTATCTTCCCTGGTGTTTACTGCTTTGACTGGAACCCGGGTTATATATTCTCTCCTTTCACTTAACCCCGGTTCCGTTGGGTACAGAATCAATGCGACAAAGAATTTCGAACTGCAAATGCCCCTGCCTTGGAATGAAGGGGGTGGAGAGATGAGGAAGACATTCCTGGTCCTCCCAGGTCTGCTGGGGGAGGAGGGAGCCACCCCATAGATCATTCGCATGCTAGGCAGGCCGCGATAAGAGTTCTCTGGAGGCACGAAACTACTGGAGGGGCACTTGCCAGAAAGGAAGTTCTTCATTTGGGAGTTTTCACTGGCCCCCAGGTTTGGGACTGGCGGTCCAATTGCATTTCAGAAGCAGAGGGGCTCCCCTGATGGCTTTCCAGGCTCCTACCACAGGGTAAGCCCACATTAAACATGTGTTGATTGGTTGAAGACAACCCTAGACACAGCCAGCTGTGGTGCTTCTGGGGACAAGCGCACAGCTAGGGACATGAAGAGTGCCTAAGTGCGACCTCTTTTCTTCCACGGAGGAGGGGACCAGAGCCAGAGGGAGGAAGTGAGCTCTGGAAGGCCACCCAGTGAGCTCCGGATAGAGCCAGGCCCCAAATCCAGCCCAGCTGCCCCCTCTCTTTCCAAGGCCTCCGTCTGCTTCCTGGAAGTCAGGATTATTATTAAACTGATAGACTCCAGAAGGTCCTTGAACTTGGATGGGATAAAAATTACATCTTTATTTTCACTACCTCTAACCGAAATCTAGCATTTCCTTTAATGGACATAGGAAAGAAACCACAGCGATATTGGCAGTAGCTGTAACTTTGTCACCAACAGAAATCACAGATATTTTCGTATCTTGTAGGTAGCACCAAACATCATTTACACTCATCATTATTTTGAAATTCCAGCAGTTATTTTATGTCATTATTTAATGCATTAAATAAGCACATATATGACTAAAAATATTTTGATGCCTATTTCAATAGAATTGGCTTGCTTTGCAATTCCTTGGGATTTTTTAGTATGCATTTAAAGCATTATGCTGAGAAAGCGTCCATAGGCTCACCAGCCTATGGATGCCAAATGGGTGCATGGCACAAAAAAGATGATGACCCCTCCTTAAGGACTGTTCTTCATGAAATACACAGATGTCTTCTGCTATAGACTTGGTTTGGTGGGATGGTTAGCACTCAGCCTTGGTGACCACGAGGCTGAGTTCCCTTCTCAGCTGTTGCTCAAGCTCTCTGAACCTCAGGTTCCTTGTCCATGAAATCAAGATAGTAATCGTTTTCATGTTTCAGGGCTGGTGTGAGATGAGAACACACATACAATGTTGGTGTGGGGCTTGGCCCAGGGAAAGCATTCACTACATACTAGTGGTAGCGCTGAAACCGAGTGTGCTAGATCTCAGGGTCTTGGCTTGGCCAGAACCATTTCTTTATCTTGGCTGATTCAAGAAGCAGAAAAAAACAATCTTTGCTAATTTGTCAAACTTTTTCAAACCTCAGTTCCCAGGTATCAAAAACTATCACCTGACGGAGGCCACATGGCCTAAAATAATTTTTTTAAACTTGAAGATTAACTTACATATCATAAAGTGCAGTAATCTTAGCTGTGTAACTCAGTACATTTTTACATATGTATGGATTCATGTAATCACCACCCAGATCAAGATATAGACCATTTTCAGCATTCCAGAAGGTCCCCTCTTACCCCTTCTCAGTCAATACTAGCCTACCTCTTTAACCACTATCCTGAGTTCTATCACTAGTGATTAATTTTGCCTGTTCTGGAACTTCATGTAAATTAATTCAGAATGTAGGTACTCTTTCATGCCCGTTTTTTTTTTCACTCCAAATGTCCGTGAGGCCCATCTATGTTGTTGCATGTATCAGGAGCTTTCTCTTTTTCATGGCTAGGTAGTATTCCATTGTATGAATACACCACAACTTATTTATCCCTTCTCCTGTTGATGGCAATTTGGATTGTTTCCATTTTTTAGCTCTTATGAACACAGTTGCCACATATATTTGTATACACGTCTTCATGTGGGCATACGCC